TTCTTGTTGAGTTCTCTAGCAATTTCCTCAGGTAGAAAAAAAATAAAAAACCAAAGTTATCACAGCGGCCATAAAATCAGAACGATGAAAAATATTATAACTCAATGGAAAGAAGCATACTACTTGTGTGAAGTGCGGGAAAACGCGGGCGATCAATTGATAATTGGATTTAATTTTTGCATCTTAGTGGTTGAGAAAGTGGCGCAAATTTTTTAGACCAATTGTTGTGAATTGAAAGTCTTGACGTTTTCCTGATTCATGCGGTCTTTCTACCAATTTTGGTTATTTGGCTTCTTTGGTTCATCTTGAGAATCTATTTACCTTGACTGTGCTCGTGCTTGCCATTGCCTATTAGCTGGATTCAGGTAGGCATGCGTTAACTAACACTTTTAGACTACCTCCTCTTGAAACCAAAATATTGACACAAGTGAAGTGATTTGTTTTGTTTACTCATGCAGAATAGCAAGTAAACATGAGATCAAATTATGTTCAGCTTCTATATTAAGGACATTGAACCAAGGTAAATTACTTAAGTTCTTTCAGTGTTGTACCCCGTTAAGATGCAGGACTATAGTTGTAACTGTAGTTGTCCTTTGAAGAACTGACTAGGTAAGGAAAGCAAAGCTGCTGAATTATCTTAACCCAACTTTGCTGGGTTAAGATAATTCAGAATAAGTGTGAAATTTGATTTCAGATTTGAAAGCATTGAAAGAAAATCCAGCGTAATTTTCCTTTTGTTTATGATGTTATGATTGGATGCTCTGAAGAGGATACACAAAATTATCCCAAACAGGCCTTTGAACAAAGGAATTAAAGAAACCCGGATGAAAATTTAACCTTGGATCGGCAGCGCGAAAAGGCCTTCGGATAACTGGAGCCTGAGCTACAACCTTAAGTCAAGCGCAGAACCCTTCCTGTAAGCATTGTTTGGTCAGCTTTTACCCTTGAAGCACTTTTAAATTGAGTATTGAAAAACGAAAACTAAAATAATAACATCTAGAAATCAGAACAAAGGTTAACATCATCATCAACCAATGAGAACTAAGAGTGAAAACAGGTAACCGACTGACCATTGCAAGTTGGGACTTGTTTTGGTTTTGACTTGATTGGATGAGACGGTGGCGCGAGTTTTCTTAACCAATCACAGAGCAAGGCAATTCGGATCACCAAAGTAACCAGGATCACTTTCGATACTTCGATACTTCATTGAAAACTGCTCTTTTTCCCGTATCGACAATAGGGACCTTAAGCAGTCAGGACGGCAACGCCATGGAAGACTTAAAAATCATAAAAACTTAAATTAAAAAATGAATTTCTGCCTTTAATTAGAATTTCAAAAATGGGTGCATGTGTTTACCGTCTCATACGGCGCCACACTTCAACTTCATAATGTATAAAAAAAAGCGTTGAGTTCAAAATGGAAATTAAAATAATTTGCCATCGCGGTTTCGGTTCGCAGATGACGCAAATTGTGGTGATTTCACATTGTTGTTTTGCATAGGACAGCTGAGAAATGTACAAAGTTTTAAAACGCACGTGCTGAGCTATTTTTCTGCTAATTAGATCTTTTATTTTTCCGCGTCCTCTTTGCTGGATGATAAACGGGTGATAATCCATAGGTTTGCGCAGGGCGTAAGTAAGGCAAAACCATATCAACGCAATCCCGCATTTTTTTTCGAAACTCATCTCATGTGTAATCTGTACATGTTGTCTTTCAGTCGCGTTTCTAGGCTTCTTCTTGATTACTAGTGTTAGATGTTCAGAAATAATTCGTCGGCCCATGAACACTGAATATCTCCAAGCTGGTTAAATGTCTTGTGCGATACTTGCAGGTGGTTGGCCTTGGGGCAAGGCCGCTAGTTCGAGCGCCATTTCGTAACAAGGTGGTGGTGTCCTAGGGACTTCTTCCAGCAACGCATTGTCCACGTTTACGGTTGAATTGACCCCGCAGTAAACTTGAATAGCGGTGAAATAATCCGGCAAATCTATTGAAGGAGAAGGACTATCACACGGCCGACGTTGCGGAATATGATTATTATTCAAGACTGGAGTCGGAGATTTTTCTAAGTCTGCAGTTGGAACCCGACATATTACAGCTTGACGATTAGAAACGGTTCCTGTCTTTCTTAAATAAACTAACATCACCAGTGTTCCCACTCCAATACAAAGCAAAAAAAATAGCGGCACCCCAGTAAATGGATGCTGCTAAGGAGTCTGGCGAACTGCATTTAGGGCAGAGTAAAACAAAGATGAGAACCAGAGCGGTAATAGTCCCTGTGAAACAGAAAATTATCAAACCAACCGTTGCTGTGAACAGGAACTTTTCATTACACTTTGAAAACAACAACACATCTTGACTTCTTTGCGTCATCATCGTTCGGTAGGTTGGAATAAGCCGGTACTGACCTCAAATGAAATTGTTTTGCCTTCAGTGTTGAAGTGGACGATGAACCGAGTTAGTTGTTTATCTGATAATGGGGTACAGCTCAAATGCTGTTTAGACTTCCTTTATCTGTGCACTACCGACACCGTGGGGAGGGTCAGGCTTAGGTCGAACGGAAAAACGTCACTTCCGTTTGTCGGCCTCTTGGAATATATGGCCTAAGGGATCGATCATCATTTATCGTCTGAGGGGAGGGGTGTCGGGGGATTTTGTTTGTGTCACGATAAACTTTACCTGATCCTC